ACGCCAGTCGGCAAGGCAAGACAGAGAGAAGTGGAGGTCCATGGTCGCCCACGCCAGTCGGCCAGGCAAGACAGAATGAAGAGGAGGTCCATGGTCGCCCACGCCAGTCGGCAAGGCAAGACAGAGAGAAGTGGAGGTCCATGGTCGGCCACGCCAGTCGGCCAGGCAAGACAGAGTGAAGTGGAGGTCCATGGTCGGCCACGCCAGTCGGCAAGGCAAGACAGAGAGAAGTGGAGGTCCATGATCGCCCACGCCAGTCGGCAAGGCAAGACAGAGTGAAGTGGAGGTCCATGATCGCCCACGCCAGTCGGCAAGGCAAGACAGAGAGAAGTGGAGGTCCATGGTCGCCCACGCCAGTCGGCCAGGCAAGACAGAATGAAGAGGAGGTCCATGGTCGCCCACGCCAGTCGGCAAGGCAAGACAGAGAGAAGTGGAGGTCCATGATCGCCCACGCCAGTCGGCCAGGCAAGACAGAGTGAAGAGGAGGTCCATGATCGCCCACGCCGGTCGGCAAGGCACAGGATTATGATGATGATGAGACAAATTAATCAAAGCCCTGGAGTAACTAGCTCTCATTTTTGGTCTAATTGAAGGCAATAATAATATAATAATAATTGCATTTATATAGCGCATGTCCACGCTCAAGAGCAGGCTCTATGCGCTTTACAACTATAATTACCCCCAGCAGACCCTCTGAAAACACTCAGAAACATTCTCGGCTTCCGCGGAAGCACACAGTGCAAGCTGCGGATTTCACGCGCTCAAACACAAACAAACTGACAAGATCGTTCACTGTCTATAGCCAGGTATCCATTTCCACCTGGGGGAAGTGAGGAAAATTTGTGCAAAAAGCCTTTCCCCAGGACACAAAGTCGGGCCCCTGACGGGATTCGAACCCCCGACCTTACGGCTGCGAGTCCAAGAGCCTAACCACTAGGCCGCCGACGCCACAAGGTAAAGAAGGCAAGAGTTGACCCGCAGCAACTTATTTGGAAAGTCTAAACAGATGGGTGACGGGGAAAGATCCGGATGACAATATACAGCTTTTATGAAATAATCCGAACAAAGAATTATGAATCGCAAATCTTGATCGCCGATGTCTGTCTATTATTATCAATACCATCATAATTGTCGCCATTGTCATTCTTTTCCACTTTTTATTAATATACTACCGAACAAAATCTTTTCAAAACCTTTCTTCTTGTTTTTTGTGTGTGTGTTTTTGTTGTTGTTTTTTTTTTTGGTCACCGAGATTTTTCTATTTATACCTAATTGGTCAAGTATTATTGAATCTATTATGTTATATGACGCTAGCAGTAAAGCTTCACTGAGATGTTTCTATTAAATTTTATTTACCCTTGGACTAAAGTTATTGAAACTATTAATTCATGTACGTAACAGTAAAGGTTGTCTTTTATTCATTATTCGTCTCGTGACATTGAAAGTACATGTTATTTATTATTAATCTGACAGTAAAATAAGCTACAAAAACAACAACAACAAACAAACAAACAAACAAACAAACAAACAAACAAAAAAGTAACAACAACAGTAGCAACAACAACAACAACAACAACAACAACTACTACTACTACTACTACTACTACTACTACTACTACTACTACTACTACTACTACTACTACTACTACTACTACTACTACTACTAC